GCGGGAGCTCGGGGGTCCGGAACGTCCTGATGGTGGCCGGCCCTTCCCCTCCTGCGGTCAGCACCTGCACTTCCAGCCGGTACAGGGTGGACGGCCTCAGATTGGGGACGGTGAGGACATAATGATCCTGAGGAGGCAGTGTAAAGGAGACGCTCGTCAATGGCCTCTGAAACTGACACCCAACTGGACACGAGCTGATGACAGCTGGCTCCCCATGTGAGCACAGTCTATCAGTGGCCACGGGGCTGCTTTGGGAAGCCACGCTGAGGGCATAGAATGTGTCTCCTAACTGACGGCAGCTCTCTGCCCTGTCGTTTCTGAGCACCTCGCTTCGTTCTTGGCAGCCTAGGACCCTGGGCAGAGTGCAAGTGGGAACCCAATGCCAGTTCTCAAGGTCCACCCCGGGACTTTGGGTTTTATTCCTTCCCGTAAGACCTTCCCATGGTTTTAAGTTCTCAGATGCACATCTTGTGATGTGAGTTCTTGATAATCCGAATTCCCGGAACGAGCCAACTGGTTTCCTTAACGCACAATTTCTGCCCGTGCCCATAACTGAAATGTTTGCTTTTATGCCAACACATTCTTCTCAAAACTCACTAAAACCTAAGACAGTCACAGAATGACTGCTTTCTAATTCCAGGGAATTTTTTCTTCTGGGATTTAAGGGTTTTGTTTTTTTTTTCTTTTTCTTTCTTTTTGCATTTTGGAGCAGGACTTGGCTATCCAAGGGACACTTTCAGAGAGCGTAAGAGCCCACACGTGATTTTTTTTTTTCCAAACCAAGGAACTGAGTGGCTTGGAAGACAGGCCAAGAGGACAGGGCTCCAGCCAAATGTGACAGGGAGAAAAGACAACTCGCATTTTTGTCCCCCAATTTAACACTTCAAACAGGCCACCTCCGCTTGGAGCGCAGGGACGAGGGTTAACGAAGACAGAAGAAAATGGCTAAACCACTTGCATGCAAAGGGGACAGCAAAGTCTGTTGAACAGCTGGCTCGACTAATTAAAGTCAATCTAGATGATTAAAAAGAAACAAAATTGCTGTCCAGTCAATCCCGACTCCTGGCGACCCCATGCGACAGAGTAGAATTACTCCATAGGGTTTTCTTGGCTATAGTCTTTACAGAAGCAGACTGCCAGGCCTTTCTTCCTTGGTCCCTCCAGGCAGGTTCTAACCACCAACCCCCAGGTTAATAGTCAAGTGCAAACTGTTTGCGCCACCCAGAGAGCTGAATCTAGATGATAGTTTGTACTATTTCTTAACTATTCACAGTAACACTTTTGATGCACTGTTAATATTTGCAAATACTCTCAGAAGAAGAGAATATAGAAAGAAGAATCAATCGTATGCCACACCAAACCCGTTGTCATGCAGTTGACCCTGCCTCATGGCGACCCCATGTATGTCAGAGTAGAACTGTGCTCCATAGGGTTTTTAATGGCTGATTTTTAGGAGGTAGATCACCAGGCCTTTCTTCTGAGGCACCTGTGGGTGGACTCGAACCTCCAACCTTTCTGTTAGCAGTCGAGCACATTAACCATTTGCACCACCAAGGAACTCCGAACCCACTGACACTCAGTCGACCAGGACACATGGCGACCCCATGTCTGTCAGAGTAGAACTGTGCTCCATAGGGTCTTCAGTGGCTGATGTTTCAGCAGTAGATTGCCAGGCCTTTCTTCCGAGGCACCTCTGGGTGGACTGGAACCTCCGACCTTTCGGCTAGCAGTGGAGCCTGCTTACTGTTTGCACCCCCTAGGGACTCTGTGTGGCACACAGCATAATAGAAAGACCTCAAACAGCAGTGCCAACTGAACAATGGATGGGTGCCAACCGCCCAGACAAGGCGGCCGAGCAGCACCTACCGAGGGCAAAATCTGGGACTGCGAGATGATGCTGTTGGGCAGGCTGTTCTGCCTGCTGTCTGTCGTGACCTCTGCCCAAGTCACCTGAAACCCGGTCATGGGCTGGGAGAGATCTGCCCTGGCCATCCTCCAAGAAAAGTGACCCGTGATGTTGACATCTTGGACAACAAAGGATGCAGAAAGGTTCTCCGGCTTGGCTAGCACTTTGGGAAGCACCTGGCCTGCAAATGCAAAAACGGAACGCGGGGTTAGGCTACTGGGGGGAGAGTGAAAGGAGGCGCTGTTTTATTTTCATCCTGGGAATTTCGGGGAGCCACTCTGTGGAGACGGGAGGGGCGGATGGGACCTCGTTCTTTAAGGCTGGCTTCAGACAACCGCCTCCTGGGCCTGAGGGAGAAGTGTGAACACGTGGAGCGCAGTCTCATCCCTTCATGCGATGCGCTTCTAACCCCTTAGGGATTATTTTTAGAGACCTTCTTCAGGGATGGAAGGCCGAGAGAGACATTCAGACTCTGGCTGGCCTTGGCCATTTCTTAGAGAAGGGCAGTAACTGCAGTGAGAAAGGTGGACAGTGGGTGGCTGGAGGGGGTTCTCGGCTACGAGTCCCCACCGCAAGAAAGGCATTCTGCAAGAAGAGGTGAGGGCGAAGAGATGGGTCTGGTGGGTGGGTGTGGGAAGCGTGTGAGAACTCACATGGCAGAAGTGTGGGATCAAAATGAAATCATTTACAGCCAAGTGCACTGAAGTGCCAGCAGTATATACGGGGTTGGCTTCATTTCCAAAGGGGTAATACTGACGGCAAAGGAACTCTTTTCCACGCTGTTAGAATTATAAAATATTATGTATATATCCAAGCTGGACCATCACATTGTAATTCAGAAAGAAGGGCACGTTGCGTTTCCACGGTCTCCTGAAATGACGGTTTGGAAACGTTTTCAGCGTGTGGCTAACTAACATCTGGGACACCATCCAAGTTCTTCAGGTGAACACGTACCTGCCTCATCCGGGCAGCTGGCGTGCTTGTGGCTTTTCCACTTGAGAGCGGAGCAGGGTGGAGTGGTAAAGAAAGCCGTCTCCGCCTTCACGGGGCCCTTGGGCCGGATGGGCTGGACCATCACCTTGTATTTGCAGGAAAACGACAGATCCTGAAGGATGATATAATTCTCCTAGAGCAAGGGACAAAGAATATCTCGCATCAGTTTCACTAGGGAGGAAGAATTGGCAGGAGATGAAATGGTACTCCAGCAAGGGTATTTTCCTATATATGGGGTGTGTGCAGTGTGGCTTGAATAAGAAATACAGAGGGGACGCTATCCACGTTTTGATTAATTACGATTGTGAAACAGTCCTGTGGCTGTACAACCCATCCCGCAGAATTAAGCAGCGCCTGGGTCTTTCTGCATCAAAGCGCCCAGCTCCTAACGTTCATAACCCACGCTCTGAGCTGGCGACAGGACGGGTGGTAGTGCAAAGCTTCAAATACAAAGCTATGTTGCTGGAGGTGGTGCTTTTTTAATACGAGAAAAACAACTCAAGCTTCTCTCAATCATGGGCTTGGTTTATATGTAAGTTTTTCTTGAAAAAAGTTGAAGATATTCTTTCAGAAATAGGTTCCCCCTTTTTAGAATGCTGTTATTGCTTCCTGTCACAGAGCTGTGATTAAACATCAATACGCCAAACAGGCTAAATCACAAAGGAGTCAGAATCTTAGACTAGATTTTTACAGTAACATCCAAATATGGCCTTTACTGTTCTAACACTTCGGTAACTATGTTTCTTTCATATCTGGCTGTTAATCAGTTGCCATGGAGTCAATTCGGACTCATGGCGACCTCATGTGGGTCGGGGTAGAATTGTGCTCCCCAAGTCTTCCAATGGTTGATTTTTTTTGGAAGTAGATTGCTAGGCCTTTCTTCTGAGGCAACTCTGGGTGGACTTGAATTGCCAACCTTTTGGTTAGCAGCCAAGTGTTTAATTGTTTGCACCATCCAGGGACTCCGAAAACAGTGGCCATTGTGTTGATGCTGACTCATGGTGACCTCATACATGTCCATAAGGTTTCCAGTGGCTGAACTTTCAGAAGCAGATCTCCAGGCCTTTCTTCTGAGGCACCTCTGCATGGACTTGAACCTCCAGTCTTTTGGTCAGCAGCTGAGAGCATTTAGGAAGCATGGTAGACCCAACTCAACACAATTCCCAACTCAACACAACTCAGGCTAGACAACCAGAGTCTACTCTGTGTCTTTGGGAGTCTGAGTGTTTTTCTTTAGGAATGAACCCGCACTTTATATGGAAATACACTGGAATCCAGGGGTAGCTGTCAAAGATTCTGCAGCTCAGACATTCCAGGAGCGCTGTCATGCGGCATAGAGGACAGCCAGCTGTAGTAGCAGGTAAGTCAGCCGATGCTACATTGCAGCATGAAAATGGATGAACTGGGTCTACGAGTCATTTACACATGGAACCAGACAACCTGACAGCCTCCAGCAGGGTGTTCCTTCAGGACTGGGATGATTTCTACCAGGCAGGTTATATATGCTCAGTTAAGGAGCTGTTATCATTTTCAGTTCCTGAGGATGAGAAGCCTAGGATTGGGCAGCCGCAGGAAAGTAAGCCAGATTCCATATGTTCCCAAGGCAAACAGAAATCAAACAGGAAGAGGCTGTGCCCCGGCCACAAAAAAAAATTAATAAATCTAATTTCTGTTTATTTCTATCTCCCCTATTCAAGTAAGCTTCCATTTTTTTTAAATGTCTATTTTCATTTCTTACTAACGGCCACAAACATTGGGAAGAATGTAAGGATAAAGAAAAAGGGCAACTCTGGTGAAGGTGGGTCTCAAACCACCTTGAAATCCAGCTGTGTTGTTTCTGCAAACCCACTGACCAGTTTTTATTTTATGGTCTTAAAGTTAGTGATCAGATATGATTCAAAAAATATTGTACTGGTAGCTTTAGAAAATGCTCAGAAATACAACATTCCTGTAAAATATCACAAACCAACACTTTGCATAGCTGAGGTCATGTTTTTGGAATTTTAAACTGTCCTATTACATATAGCTTGCGGTCACCAACATATTGTATAATGCAGTGCCCTCTTAAATATTTTCTGTTGGTCTTTTTGGTTCTGCTCTGTAACTCATGCATTAACCCCAAATATTTGGAATAGTGCTTTGAAGAGTACCGACAGAGTTTGCTATCACCAACGGGTTTAATATTCCCTTAAAGTTATAAGTCAAAACACTGAGCACGGTATACAGGAAAGAAAACATCTTTCATTAACTGGATGAGGTGGTGGTAGCCAGGAATACAGACAAGAGAGATACTGGATGACGCTTAGTATCATAGAGATATTGATTGGTAAAATAAAACCTTTAGATCCTTGTGCCAAGTCAAAATTCAGAAAATAATTCAAAGGATTTGTCCAGTTAAGATAAAACATACAGATGCTCACAAGCATCCTGCCCGCCCCCCACTGACCTGGAATTTCCTGAAGAACTTTGTCTCAGTTCTGTATTTTAAGACCTGCCATGTTTTCCCAACAGAATAAGCTCTCCATGTTTTGTTTTGTTTTTATTTTTATTGTACTTTAGAGGAGGTTTACGGAACAAATAGTTTCTCATTAAACAGTTAGTACACATATTGTTTTATGACAATGGTTAACAACCCCACGACATGTCAACACTGTCCCTTCTCAACCTTGGGTTCCCCATTACCAGCTTTCCTGTCCCCTCCTGCCTTCTCGTCCCTGCCCCTGGACTGCTGTGCGCCATTAGTCTTGAACTCTCCAGGTTCTGAATGGATGAAAGGATGAGTGAGTATTGTGATCTCAGTGTTCACTGTGAAACCAACACCTGTCTGTCAGTGTGTCGTACTGTGGTGGCTTGTGTGGCGCTATGATGCTGGAATCTATACCACCAGGAGTACAAACACCGGCAGGGCCACCCGTGGTGGACAGGTTTTGGCAGAGCTTCCAGATTAAGATAGACTAGGAAGAAAGGCCTGGCAATCTACTGCTGAAAATGAGCCAATGAAAACCCTATGGATCACAACAAGGCACTGTCTGACTCACTTGCTTTGGACAAGTATCAGGAGGGCTCAGTCAGGAGGAGGACATCGTGTTGGGCGAACAGAGGGCCAGTTAGGGCGAGGGGGACTCTTGGCGAGACGGATTGGCACAATAGCCACAACGATGCATCTGAACACGCTGAGGACTGTGAGGATGACGCAGGACCGGCAGCGTTTTGTTCTGTTATACGTCAGGCAGCCGTGAGTTAGAGCTGACTCAGTGGCAGCTATCTATCTATCTACATACATACAGGTCATTGCTGATGTCAGCTGGATCTCGGCTGAAAGCAGAAAACACCAGAAAGATGTTGATCTGTGTTTTATTGACTCTGCAGAGGTATTTGACTGTGTGGATCATAACAAGTTATGGATAACACTGCGAAGAATGGGAATCCCAGAACACTTAATTGTGCTCATGAGGAACCAGTTGTTGGGACAGAACAAGAGGGATACTACATGGTTTAAAGTCAGGAAAGGTGTGCGTCAGGGTTGTATCCTTTCACCATACCTATTCAATCTGTATGCTGAGCAGATACTCCGAGAAGCTGGACTATATGAAGAAGAGAGGGGCATCAGGATTGGAGAAAGACTCATTAACAACCTGCGTTATGCAGATGATACAACCTTGCTTGCTGAAAGTGAAGATGACTTGAAGCAATTACTGATGAAGATCAAAGATCACAGCCTTCAGTATGGATTACACCTCAACATAAAGAAAACAAAAATCCTCACAGCTGGACCGATAAGCAACATCATGATAAATGGAGAAAATATTGACGTTGTCAAGGATTTCATTTTACTTGAATCCACAATCAATGTCCATGGAAGCAGCAGTCAAGAAATCAAATGACATATTGCATTGGGCAAATCTGCTGCAAAAGACCTCTTTAAAGTGTTGAAAAGCAAAGATGTCACTTTGAGGACTAAGGTGTGCCTGACCCAAGCCATGGTATTTTCAATCACCTCGTATGCGTGTGAAAGCTGGACGATGAATAAGGAAGACCAGTGAAGAACTGATGCCTTTGACAAATCAAAAAAACAGAAAATAACAAATGTTGGAGAGGCCGCGGGGAGACTGGAACTTTTATGCACTGCTGGTGGGAATGCAAAATGGTACAACCATTTTGGAAAACAGTATGGCACTTCCTTAGAAAGCTAGAAATAGAAATACCATATGATCCAGCAGTCCCACTCCTAGGAATATATCCTAGAGAAATAAGAGCCGTCACACGAATACACATATGCACACCTGTGTTCACTGCAGCATTGTTTACAATAGCAAAAAGATGGAAACAATCTAAGTGCCCATCAACAGATGAATGGATAAACAAACTATGGTACATACACACAATGGAGTACTACGCGACGATAAAGAACAACAATGAATCTGTGAACCATCTCATAACATGGATGAAACTGGAGGACATTATGCTGAGTGAAGTAAGTCAATCACAGAAGGACAAATATTGTATGAGACCACTACTGTAAAAACTCATGAAAAGGTTTACACACAAAAAGAAACAATCTTTGTTGGTTAAGAGGGATGGGCGTGGTGAGGGGGAAAATACTAAACAGACAACAGATAAGTGATAACTTTGGTAAAGGGTAAAACAGTACACAATACTAGGGAAGCCAGCGCAACTTGTACAAGGAAAGGTCATGGAAGCTCCACAGATACATCCAAATTCCCTGAGGGACTGAATTGCTGGGCGGAGGGCTGTGGGGACCATGGTCTTGGGGAACATATAGCTCAATTGGCATGACAGTTTATAAAGACAATGTTCTACATTCTACCTTGGTGAGTAGTGTCTGGGGTCTTAAAAGCCCGTGAGCTGCCATCTAAGATACTCCACGGGTCTCACACCTTTGGGAGCAAGGGAGAATGAAGAGAACAGGATACGAGGAAAAGATTAGTCCAAAGGCATGATGGACCACAACTACCACGGCCTCCACCAGACTGAGTCCAGTACAGCTAAACGGTTCCCGGTTACCACCACTGACTGCTCTGACTGGGATCACAATAGAGGGTCCTGCACAGAACTGGAGAAGGATGTAGAACATAATTCTAACTCACAAAAAAATGACCAGATTTACTGGCCTGACAGAGACTGGAGAAACCTCAAGAGTATGGCCTCCAGACACCCTTTTAGCTCTGTAATGAAGTCACCCCTGAGGTTCACCCTTCATCCAAAGATTAGACAGGCCCATAAAACAATACTAAAGAGACACACCAGCCCAGGAGCAAGGACTAGAAGGCAGGAAGGGACAGGAAAGCTGGTGATTGGGAATCCGAGGTCAAGAAGGGAGAGTGTTGACATGTTGTGGGGTTGGTAACCAGTGTCACAAAACAATATGTGTACTAACTGTTTAATGAGAAGCTAGTTTGTTCTGTAAAAAAAAAAAAAAGAATTGATGCCTTTGAATTATGGTGTTGGCGAAGAATATTGACTATACCATGGACTGCCAAAAGAAGGAACAAATCTGTCTTGGAAGAAGTACAGCCAGAATGCTCCTTAGAAGCAAGGATGGTGAGACCATGTCTCACGTACTTTGGACATGTTATCAGGGGAGACCAGTCCCTGGAGAAGGACATCATACTTGGTAAAGTAGAAGGTCAGTGAAAGAGAGGAAGACCCTCTACGAGATAGACTGACACAGTGGCTGGAAAAACGGGCTCAAACAACAATGATTATGAGGATGGGGCAGGACCAGGCAGTGTTTCGTTCTGTTGTACATAGGGTCACTATGAGTCAGAACTAACTTGACAGCACCTGACAACATCTACCTATCATCTATTTATCTTATCTGTCCATATCTACCTACCTACCACCTATCTATCCTCTATCATCTATCTGTCTTTCTATCTGTCTATCTATCATAATGTACTTATCTATCATCTATCTTGTGAGAATGAGTCACCCCTTAGAGTGACTATTTACAAACTCTGTCCAATGACACATCAAGATTAAGTGAGTTTAGAGTCAAACAGTACAATCTTCTACTTACGTGTGTCATGCCAGATGACTTCTCAGAGCTGGTTGTTCCGTTGTGGGAACATAATTCTGGGAACCACTGCACATGGTATCGGTTGATGCTGGAATCTACAATATCAAAACACACGAACAAAAAGAACAATCTAGAAGTCACATTCTGCGTAGTGCAATGTTCTTAAAACTTGTGAGAATAGAAAGGGAGAAAATAACATTTAAAAACTGCATAACAAGCCAAAACAAAACCCATTGCCCTCAGGTCACTTCCGACTCCTGGCAACACCATGTGTGACAGAGTAGAACTGCTCCGTAAGGTTTTCTTGGCTTTAGTCTTTATGGGAGCAGATGATGGTTGAACCAAACGAGGTGTGCAGGTTTTGTATAATTGTAGTTATTATTCAGTCATTAAGAACCGTGATGGCTGATTTTATGTGTCAACTTACTAGGCAAAGGCGCCCAGTTGTTTAGTCAAGTGTTAGTCTAGAAGTTGCTATTAAGGTATTTACATGTGATTAACATTTACATTGGCTGATTTTCAGTAAAGTAGATTATCCTCCACAAAGTGGGTGACCTGACCCAATCAGTTCAAGGCCTTAAAAAGGAAAACTGAGGTTTGCCAAGGGAGAAGGATTCTGCCTCAAGACTATAAACAGACATTCTGCTGCAATTCCCAGCCCACTGCCTAATCTACAGATTGAGGACGCTAGATTGCCAACGTCTCAAGCCCATGCCTGACCTACAGATTGTCGGTGCTACAGCAGAATTAAATGAAATAGAGAATAGAAGAACAATCGAAAGAGTTAACAAGACCAAAAGCTGGTTCTTTGAAAAGATCAACAAAATACATAAACTGCTGGCCGAACTGAAAAAATACAAGAGAAGAAGCAAATAACCCAAATAAGAAATGAGACAGGCGAGATCACAACAGACCCAACTGAAATTAAAGTACCATAACAGAATACTATGGAAAATTGTACTGTAACAAATTTGAAAACCTAGAGGAAATCGACAAATTTCTAGAAACTCACTACCTACCTAAACTAACACAAACAACTAAATAAACCCATAACCAAAGAAGAGATTGAAAAGGTAATTAAAAAACTCCCAACAACAACAAAAAAAAAGCCCTGGCCCAGA